CACCCAAGGTCACCCTATACAAATCAAGGAGCTGGTGGGGTACAGTGGGCCCCTGCTGGTACCTAGCAGGGGTCCCGGTCTGCCAGGTGGTCTTGGGTGGGCTCCTCTCTGAATCCTGCCATCCTACATGGTGATAAGACAATCAAAGTCACTGCAAATGAGCCAGCTGAGCTGCATAGGATCCAGAAAGAACGTCCAATCTTGGGTGGCCAAATGTTACCAGAAAGGCAGACCTGCCAAGGGCCAGCCGGTAGTGTGTGAATTTCTTGACTCCGTGCAGGAAAAATTTCACAGCACAAGTCCAGATGACTATGAGGGAACATTTATTAAAGCTGGGGACAGTAAAACAAGAAAGGGCTTAGCATAGAAGAAGCAACAGGAGAGCCTAGGCTGGGCTGCCCTGGCTCTCTGGGAAGTCAGAGAAAAGGGGGCCTTGGGAACAGGTTCAGGGGACTAGCCGGCGAGAAGCTGCCTCTGCCCATGGTTGCAAGTCTCTTGGGGTTCCTTAGAGTTTAGGAGATGCATGCCTGTGTGGGAATAAGAGGAGTAAGGGGATGGGGGGACGGGGGGCGAGGGATGCTGCACGGAGGGAGAGCATGCACTGAGTCCTTTGTCTTGAGGCTTTTATTTCTCTCTTGCAGGTGGGAATCTTAGGGGAGGTCTCAGGGGAGGGTTTTAGCAGAATATTCATCAGTTTTCTAGGTGCAGCTGAAATACAACTGAGGCCTAGATGTTATCTCTAGGGAGGTGACCTATATCTGCTGGAAATTGCTCCGCCTAGTTTGTTCAGCTATCTGCCTCAGTTTCCCTATTCCACTTGTCCTGGCTTACTGGCCTGTCTCACGTTGTTTCGTTGATTGGTTGTTAATCTTTCCATGATGATAGGCAGATAAGGAGAGTGGATCACATTCCAAATGTCCCTGGGTGTACAACTCTCAGCCAGGTTAGAATGTGCTTTCTCTAATCAGAGCAGAACAATCACAGTTAATAGAACTTGATTAATATTTCTTATAACTATAGCTAAAATCATGGTTAACAGAGCATGATTAATATTTCTGCCCCTAACAGGAAGTAAGCACTCCGTTAGACACTGGGAGAAAGGAAGAAGGGATTAGTGATGTGAAATCACACCAACGGGTATTAGTGAATGCTAAGAGATTCTCAAAGACGACATTTCTTGAAACAGCCAGCAAATGTTTTTCGAAGGGCCTCACTTTATCTGGTTCTTGGGAAATAATCATAGGTATTGAGGAAGTTGGAAACTGTTGCTTAGCCCCAGTTGGTGTGGGTGTGGCTCAGCTGGCTGAAAGTTGTCTCATGCACCAGAAGGTCACTGGTTTGATTCCTAGTCAGAGAACGTGCCTAAGGTTGTGGGTTTGATCCCAATACAGGAGGTGATTATGTTTCTCTCTCTACCCCCCCTTCCTCTCTCTCCAAAATCAGTTTAAAAATAAAAAGAAACTGTTGCTTGTACAGTATAGGGAAGGACACAGTGGATTCTGTTTTTGATGTGTTAAATTGTAAAAAAGGAATGGCAAAAGTGTGAGGTTTAGGGATCTTTTTCACACAGGTGATGGTTCACAACCTAAGAATATTAGAAAGGCTCTAGGTATTTAACACAGACTAAATGAGTCTTAGGGGACAATTCACAGTGAAATGGGGGAGGAAGGAGAGGACAGAATGACAGGTGCTTGAACTCTGAAGGCCTCGAGAAGCAGTGCAGCGTTGTGGGGAGGCCTCTGCTTCCCAGGCAGGTAAACTACGTGGTGTGGCCACTCACTGTATAGCCTTGGGCAAGTCACAGAACATCACTGGTCTGCCTTCTCATTTGTCAGCTGCAGATCATTATCCCTGCCTTGTAGAATTATGAGTCGTATATGAAGTAATTGTGTAAAAAGTTATGCCTGGGAAAAAGAAGGCACATGATAATGGAAATTTTTATTATTAGCTATTAGAATTACAGAATAAAAGGATCGTCCTGAGAAGAAGGTTGAGAATAACTCAGCCTGAATTAAGTGTATTGGACATAGATTTTTAACTTAAGGAATGACATATCATGAATGGTAATATTCCTTGTTCCCATGAAATTCTCTTCAGGTTCCTAAATAGTTTCCTTTAGAAACAAAATATTGCCTGCCTTGATTGGCATGTTACTATGTTTTATAAATTTATCTAGAAATTGGGAACACTGGCTACATTCATTCTTTGTGTCCTCAGGTAACATGACCTCCCCCCTCCCCCCCCACCCCATTTCCTGGAGGTTTTGTGGTTCAGGGAATTCTGGTTATGCTTTAATGTAGCCTGAATGCTTTAGGTTTTAAATTTTGAGATAAAGGAACACTGAACAGTTTTCTTTTTTGCTTTTGTTAGCATTAATCTGCCACAATTCATTACACTCTCAGTTGCCTTAACAGATAAACAAGAATTCAGTTTCAGTTATGTTAAGTTCTGTGTTTTCCAAATCAACACTGAAAGGAAAGGCTTATTTAAGGTCAAGAGTACAAAAGGAACAATTATGTAATGGTTCATTTCCATCCAAGTGTAAAATATGTAGGAATTCAGTAGACCGAACACTTAGGAACAGAATGTTTTATAATATAAATAAAAGAAACTTTAATGTCCTTTTTTTGTTAATCATTAAAATAAGTGTTGGACTCATGGACCCGGGTTCTTAACAAAATTAGGGAGAAGCTAGTAGAATCAGTGGCCATGCCAAAGCCTGCCTTTCAGGCTTTGGTGCCCAGCTTTGTCTTCTTTCTTTCAGTGCCTTGAACATACTGTGTTTCCTCCTTTCATTTGTCGGTGGCACAAGCTGTTCCATTAAGCTGATATACTTTTTTTTAAAGATTTTTTAATTGATTTTTAGAGAGAGAGGGAGAGAAACATTGATGTGAGAGCGGAACATCAATTAGCCACCCCCCCCTCACCCCCCACCAGCACTGAGCCAGCAACCCACAATCTGGGCATGCGCCTGACCAGGAATGGAAGCAACAAACCCTCGGTGCATGGTATGTCACCCAACCAACTGAGCCAGGGCAGGCTGAAATACTCTTCATTCGTCTTCTGGAGTTCAGCTCAGATGGCATGTCCTCAAGGAAGCCTCTGATCCCCTTCCTCCTGGACAGGCCAGATTCCATTCTCCTGGTGCCCGAGTTTCTCCCTCATAGACAGCGTCATCACAACTGCGTGCTCCAGGAGGGCAGGGGCCAGGCCTCTAAGCCAAGCACCAAGAGGAGATACACAGTAGACATTTGTTCAACATTTATTAAGCACTGAGTGTTTCACTGCCTTCGTTAATTCCTCACAATAACCCTTTAGGTAGATATTATCCCCATTAACAGATGAAGAAAGTGAGACTAGAGAAGTAACTTGCTCAAGGTCACACAGTCAACGAATGACACAGCCAGGACTTAACCTAGATCACTTTGACGCCAAAGCCAGTGTCATTTTGTCATTTATTTTCCTTGTTTTAAATTATCCCACTGAAAAACCAGTGTTGTAAGCACAGTATGGTGTGATCTACCCCAGGAAAGTAGACAGGGGGTTTGATCAAAATGCAGCAATGAGCTTATCCTGGGCCTTTGTGCTGTGCCTTCCCAGCATCCATTCCCTAGTCACAGGCTGTTTTCATGTGGATGGATCCACAAGTCTCCTTGTCTCAGTGCACATGGCCTGGGTGTGCTCAGTCCCAGGGATGGTGCACTGAGACCTATACTTGAGCCAATCAGCATAACCCATCCCGTCTAAACATGACAGGTTTAAGGAAGGTCTGTGACCTAGTACTGTCCGTAAGAGCCAACTGAGACTCGCTCCTCAGGCTGTTGGAATGATCATAAATGTGTGTTTTCTGGGCCCGAGGAGGAAAGCAATGAGAAGGTAATATGGCAGTTATAGTCAAAACAGGTGTTTTTTAAAAAATATGTATCTTTTTAAAAAAATGTATGTTTTTATTGATTTCAGAGAGGAAGGGAGAGAGAGAGAAACATCAATAATGAGAGCAAGTCATTGATCTGCTGCCTCCTGCACCCTCCCTGCTGGAGATCGAGGCTGCAACCCGGGTATGTGCCCGGGTATGTGCCCTGGGAATTGAACTGCACAATCTACTGGATCATAGGTTGATGCTCAACCGCTGAGCCACTCCTGCCTGGTGTCAAAACAGGTTTTGACTTGCTCTGTAACTCGTGGAATGCAAGAAGAAACTTTATTTATTTTGCTACACTTCAGTGTTGTCTATAGAAAATGAGGATAGCCCTGGCTGGTGTTGCTCAGTGGTTAGAGCGTCGTCCAATACACTGAAAGGTCTGATTCCTGGTCAGGGCACATACCCAGGTTTCGGGTTCAATCCCTGGTCGGGCACACGTGTGAGGCAACTAATCAATGTTTCTCTCTCACATCAATGTTTCTCTCTCCTTTTCCCTGTCTCTTTAGAATCAATGAAAAACATAATCTCAGGTGAGGGTTTTAAAAAAAAGTGAAGATCATATTTGCTAAACCACTTAGACAAGAAGGAATTGGTAAGAATGTGCCTAGTACTTTATACTTTGCTATTATTTACCTTCCAACGTGCCAATAACATTTCACCACATCGAACTGTGGTTTTTCATGTTTCGCAATCGCTAGACTGATCTAACCGATTGTGAGGTGGGTAGAGTAAGGAGGTTCCTACTTTGGGGAGACTGTAGAGGAGATTCATGGCCCATTGCCCAGGAGGCCTTAGGTGAGTGTCCAAACCTCACTGTAACAATAATTGTTTTCATGTTCAACAGGGAATAGAAGGCTTCCTTTCTTCCTGCTCTATGGATTTCACAAATGCGGTCTTTGGATGTGAGCTCTTCAAAACACATTCTGATCCTTTCAAAACTGCTTTTTCTCAAATCTGCTAGCTGTGTTTATCGTTACCTGGCTGGAGAAAGAAAAGTCTGTATGTTCAAATAACTTTTAACTTTGCACAAGGAAGGAAGCCCTCCCAGAGACATTAAGAAAAATGAAACCGAGCCAGCAAGTATATAAACTATTTATTTTATTTCCATTCCTAAGATGCATATGAATTTATTTATTGATTCGATATTTAAAATAGTCCTTTTGCAAAATCATCTCAGAAAATATGCTAAATTTATTAAAATACATGCAAACTGTTGCTGAAAATTCTACTCTTAAAACCCCTGACTGATCAACCAACACTTGTTTTCAAAGCATGCCGTGATGATTTTCAGAGGTTTCCATGGTTGCAAGGAACAAAGAAATCATCTTGGGACAGGGGTAGAAATTTGATCAGAATAATACAACCAATACTCATCCACTTCTTTACAGACTCACAGACTGCCTGGTTTTTCGGGGCTCTGGCAAGGTGTACCTAATTACACAAGGTTTTCCTCCTTGCAGTGGGCCTTTTCCTGGCCTGCAATCGCCTGCATTCAGCAGAGAGTATGCCAGGTAACAGAAGAACGAACCCAAGACCCTTAGCTGCCCCAGAGTTCCATGAATATACTCAAGCGCCAAACACGATTTTCAACTAGTCTTTCTTCATTCAATTTGTGAATCATTAAGATCTTTTCATTTCCCCTTTTGCAAAGTTTTCTTTTGAGTAATTTAACTGCTTATTTCACCAAGCTCTCAAAGAAGGGGTGAAATTCAAATCTGTTGGGTAACAACTTAAATAAGACAGCTGAAAACATTTTGAAGTCACTGAAGCAGCTGAAGTTTGGGGGGAAGAATAGTCTTCAGTTATGAAAGCTCATTGTTTCCTTTTACAGGAGAGTTCAAAGCTGTTTTGGTTTTGGTTTGTTTTGTTTAGTTAATTTATTCAACAAGTATCTGTTAAAGAGTAATTATATGCCAGGCAGTGGGTATACATGATGGGAGAGCAAACATTACTTTCTTTCAAGGGGCTCACAGGAATATATATTTACAAGTGATGGCAAGTGTTATAGAAGAAAACAACATACAAGTAAACTCAACCCCACGTGCAGCCTAAATAAAACTAGAAAACAGCAGTGCAACCTATCGTGGACTGATCCTCTGGGAGACGACGGAAAGTGGCTGAATAGGGTATAACGTAAACTTTTGGGGATGAAATTCAACTTTACCAAAAAAAGGGTTTCTCTTCTCCCAATTAGTATTTTAAGTGTAAACCTGAAGCCTTAGATCATCTGAGGCATTCACGGCAGCTGTCTGCTCCCCACCCGTGCTATTTCACGGCGTATCCATAGATGTGAGGGCGCAACAGCTTCCAGGACAGCGGCGCCTGTAAGCGCTGCAGCTGCAGCTTGGAGAAGCTGGCCCGCTCCAGGGACTTCCAGCTCTCCCTGGTCAGGTTGCACCCATCAAACAGAAGGTACCAGACAGGATCCAGGACCTGTTGCCAGAAGTAATTCCAGGTTGAACGCTCAGCTGCTACATGCTCCATGAAGTAAAAAGCCCCTCCCTGAAAAGGAGAAAAGAAAACCCATTTTAAGGATTTTAGTTTGGGGAAAACAGGTTCATAAGGTGATTGAAGCGTCAGATTTCAGTGGCCCCACAGGTCAACTTCATGAGAAGATAAGGGTAAGTTACTAAGACACCATTTTGGTCAATAGTTTCATCTTCTGTCAAATTTTACACAGAGCTGCCAATCTAAAGCAATTATTAACACTTCTATTTTCTGATCATAAAAGCAATACATAATAATAGCTTAAACTTAAAGCACTTACTGTGTACAAGGTGCTATATCCTTAATGCCTATCACATGTTAACTCAATCCGCACAATAAACTTATTTGGTAAAGTATTATTATCATTCCTGTTTTTATAGATGAGGGAACTGAGAAAGTAAGCACATAGAAAATAAGCAACTTGCCTAAGGTTACACAGTTTGTAATGGTCAGATAAGGTTTTGAACCTCAGTGGTTAGGCTCCAGAGGCTGGCAACACTGCCTCACCAATATGTTTATTTGAAAAAATTTAGAAAATACAGAAAAGTTAAAAAAAAATCAACCACCATTCCATCACCTCGTGATAACTACTATTAAGGTTTTGCGTGTACTTTTATATGCATGTGTATTTTTTCCGAAAACTAGGATTGGAATATACGGGTTTTTTTGTAACCCACTTGATTTTAATTATGAATCTGAATTATTATTCTAAAACATAATCTAAAAAAAGCTTTACACAATATTTCACACTACTGAAGGTACCATCTGTTATTTAACTGTTCCCATATAGGTTATTTCTAATTTGTCACTATTTTAAGTATGGCTACAGTAACTATCCTAATCCATCAATCTTTGTGACCATCTCTAATTCTTCCTAAACAAATAACTTGCTAAAACGTGGAACTGCTGAGCCAAAAGTCTCTGCCTTTCGCCCTGGCTGGGTGGCTCGGTTGAAGCATGGCCTGGTACACCGAAAGGTGGCGAGTTTTCAGTCCTGGTCAGGGCACATACGCAGATTGTGGGCTCCATCCTGGGTCTGGGCACATACGGGAGGCAATGGATGTTTCTCCCTCACATCAATGTTTCTTTCTCTCTCTCTCCCCTCCTCTGTCTAAAATCTATAAAACAAACAAACATATCCTCGGGTGAGGATTAAAAAAAACAAGTTTGTGCCTTTTTAAAGCTTTTGGTACAGGCTGTCATATTGCCCTTTGGAAAAGTTGTAGCAAATTTACATTCATACTAGCAATGGATGTGAGTGCCCATTTCCAATAAACTCTCATCAGTACTCCTCACCCCTTCCCTATCTTTGTTAACTTGACGGGTAAAATGGTATTTCATTTTCAATACTATCATGTCTTTAATATTCTTAATAGATAGAACATCTTTTACGAAACCTTATTGGTTATTTGGATTTCTTCTTTTTAATTTGTCTGTTGATGTCCTTTATCAGTTTTCTACAAGGGTGCTGGTTTTTTTCCTTACTAATTAGTAAAGATTTTTAGTACAACAAAGCTATACTATAAATGTTTTCCCCAGTTTGTTATTTGCCTTTTAATTACTTTTAAACAACTTCTACTTCTTTTATTTAAAAAAAAAATCTTTTAATTCATGTGTTTTGCGAACCTGCAGAAGAGTCCGAATCCACACCAAGCACTGCCTGAGACTAACTGTGTCTTATACTTTTGTACCACTGTCACAAGAATATAAACATGATTAGTTAAAATACCGAATCATTCAAGAGCGTTACTGAATTCATGATAACATTTTGTCAGGAGGGATTTTATTCAACCAGTGGATGCTCTGTGTAAGTTACTGCCATGTAGGAATTTGCAAGTAATGCTTTCATCTAGGACAGTCCTATAAATATGGTCAAGTATAGACACAATAGAGGCTACATGTTATTAGGAGGTCTTCAGAAGTGTTTCTACCGATCTCTGAGGTAAGTAGGGGGAAAGGGACCCGACAATCACCTCCAAAACCCTTAATGACTGCCCCACTCTTCTTAGTCTCCTCTAGCTATGTAGTCTTGGCTATCCTAGGCAGAGAGCTGAGAGATGGAGTTCCCCCAAATTCTCTGGGTAAGTCTAAGATCTGTGTTCATGAATGGAAAACTTGAGATTTCCTGATTTAAAAAAAAAAAAAAAAATCCATAGAATTGCACAGGAGAGAGGGGAGGATACCTAGGTCTGGGGAGGTCGATATTACCCTTTGGATAATACAGGCGGCTGCCAAGTGGACAGCTGGATATGCAGGGTTAGGGTGAGAAGAGAGATCTGGGCTATTTTGATTTGGGAACCATCTGTGCATGTGTGGTAATTGAAAACTTTGGGGGTGAGTGAGATTGCCCAGGGCGGTATATAAGTGAAATGAGAACTGAAAAAGAAACTCCAGGATTTAGCTGTGGGTGGAGGAAGAACACTCAGCAATGGTGGTAGAAATGTTGACGTCAGAGAGATGAAAAGCCCAGTGACAAGCAACGTGGCGCAGCTGTAAGAATATTTGTGTTAAAGAAAGTCAGACCTACTAGCTGTGTGACTTTGGGCAAGTTTCTTAACCACTCTGAGTCTGTTTCCTCAACCCAACAGGAAGACGGTTTAAAGGACTGCTGTGAGGGTTAAATGAGAATGTAATAAAGCTCCTGGTTATATTCAGCAGAGAGTGGGTGCTTCACAGGAGCTAAGGAGGTCTACCAAGAATATGATCCCCTTAAGAGTATTAGCAGTGCTATAAAATGGATACGTTAATTACTTGCTTTGCAGGGGTGTTGTGAGATTAGTAACACTGTGAACAAAACATCTACTAACCATGCCCAGTTAGAGCCTGGCCTTAGGACACAAGAACCCAGCATTTGGGTATAAAAATCAGACCTTTTTCATTTATTACTTTGATGTTGGCCTATCCTTGAACCAGAGGTAAAATTATATATTGCCTCTAAACACTCTCTCCAAGTCCTTTTATTCCTGAGGAAGCGTCTCTTAGAAAATAAAACAGGATTAGAAAACACCCTTTTCTCCTAGAAAAGTAAATTCAAATGCTAAGATGTCCGTACTTTATTTATGTTCAACTATATTTAGAGTAAAACTATTTTAAACTAGTTTTTTTAAAAAAACGATAAAGGTAATATGTGAAAATTACATACAGGTATTAAGAATTTCAAACTATACAGAAAGGTATAAAATGAAAAGTAATTAATCCCCTGCCTCAGTCCCATTCCCAAGAGGCATCACTGCTAATAGTTAACCGGTCATTCCATTAACATATATGCACATTTAGGTATATTCTCTCCACCACCACCCCCCCCACACACAAATAGGCTTATACTGTACTCTACACTTTGATTTTTTTCATTTAACATTATCTCTTGGGGATTCTTTCATATCAACACAGATAACTCCTCGTTATTTTTAACAGCTGTACAAAGTTCCTTTAGACTATTTGACAATTAACTTAAACAGCCTCCTACTGATGGACTTCTAGGTTATTTACAGTTTGTGCTATTACAAAAACTGTAATGGATGAGTTTTTGCACATTTGTGCAGTAAAGTTATAGGATAAATTCCTACTGGGTAAAAAGTATGTTCACCTTAAATTTTGATATATTTGCTTTTCTTCCCTTGCCTTTGAGGTCAGGTTCACAAAATCCTCCCTTAAAGATCAAAGTCTTTAAGTTTAGTACCTATGTTTTTTTCTATGTTGGAGAAGTTGTGGAGAAAAAAAGGAACCCTCATTCCTGGTGGGAATGTAAATTGGTACAGCCACTATGGAAATCAGTATGGGAGGATCCTCAAAAAATTAACCATAGAGTTACCATATAACCCAGCAACCCCTTTTGGGTATCTACCCCAAAAATTTGAAAAACATTTATTCGTAAAGATATATGTACTCCTGTTTTCACTGTGCCCAAGACATGGAAACAACCAAAGTGTCCTTCGATAGATGACTGGATAAAGAAGATGTACATATGTCCAATAGGATACTACTCAGCCATAAGAAAAAGATGAAATACTGCCATTTGCTACAACACGGATGGATCTTGAGAAGATCATGCTAAGTGAAATAAGTCAGACAGAAAAAGTCAAGAACCTTATGATTTCACTCATATGTAGGATATAAAATGAAACAACCAATGAACAAACAAAACAAACAAAAATTCATAGACACAGACGACAGTATGGTGGTTTCCAGAGAGGGAAGGTGGTGCAGAGGTAGTAAAGGGTAAAGGGGGTCAAATGTACGGTGATGGAAGATTTGATTTTGGGTGGTAAACACACAATGCAATATACATGATGTATTATACAATTGTACACTTGAAACCTATATAATTTTATTAACCAATGCCACTCCAATAAATTTAATTTAAAAACGTAATTTGAGTGTGGCTCAGTTAACCATTGCTCCACGCACCAAGGTCATGAATTTGATTTGGTCAGGGCACATGCAGGGCTCGCAGGCTCCCTCCCCAGCAGGGGGTGTGCAGGAGGCAGTCAATCAAAGTTTTTCTCTCATGGATGTTTCTCTCTCTCCCCCCCCTCCTCTCTCTGAAATCAATAAAAACATATTTTAAAAAATCCTACTGATCTTTGACTTATAATGTCTTTGAAAAAAATATATATCTTTATTGATTTCAGAGAGAGGAAGGGAGAGGGAGAGAGAGAGATAGAAACATCAATGATGAGTCATTGATGGGCTGCCTCCTGCACACCTCCCACTGGGGATCTAACCTGCAACCCCGGCATGTGTGGGGACCTGGAATCACCTGGAATCGAACCACAATTTCCTGGATCACAGGTTGATGTTCAACCGCTGAGCCACACCTGACGGGGCTGTAATGTCTTTTAATATGAAGGAAGTCAACCCTTTGTCTATCATGCCTGGCAAATACTTTTTCTAAGTTTGTTCTTGTACTGCAACTTTGTTCCTGCAGTTTAAACATTTTGTGTATTCAGATTTATCAGTCTTTCCCTTTATAACTTCTTTTCCACTATAAGATTTAAAAAAAAATCAGTAAGTCTCCCCTAGTAGTTTTACTTTGTACTTTCGAATGTCTGATTCAGCTGAAATGGATAGAGCTGCCCTTGGTAATAGTGGTGGCTACTAACCAGCCCTCCTCACACCCCGTCACTCACCTGCCTCAGCACTCTGCACACCTCCTGGAGGATCTGCTCCTGGCTCTCCACGGAGCACAGGACCAGGGTGCAGACCACCACATCCACGGAGCCATCGGCCACCTGGTGCATGTTCTCCCCGACAGCCACCACGAAGCGCTCGAACTGCAGGTGCCGGTTCTCGGCAATGCTCTTGATCAAGAGCTTCTCAAAGTTGGGGTTGGGGTCAACACAGGTCACCCTGCATCCCGGCGGATAGAACTTGAAGTTGGCCCCCGTGCCACAGCCCACCTCCAGCAGGGTGAGGTTCCCGGAGGGGCCCGCAAACTCCTGCAGGTTGCTGAAGAGCTCCCGCTTCTTGCTGGCCATCTGCTTGTTGTAGGTCGCGGTGAACCTCAACATCAAGTAGGGGAAACCTCTTTTGCATATCCAATTCCACAAGCCCAGAAAGTTCAGCAGGTACACGGGGAACGCCAGGATGCGGACGGCCAGCTGGAGAACAAAGAGGGCGAGCGCCATGGCTCCCGAGAGAAGGCACGGGTGAGCGCCGACCCTGCGCGGCGTCAGGCCCCTGGGCGCGCTCCAGGGTCGCTCGGACGAACCGGCTCTGCCGCAACAGAAAGCTGGAGCCGGGTCAGATCTTGAGCAAGCGGCCCGTGTCACTCAAGTAATAGACATTTGGCGAAAGTTGACTCACAGCTTAGTTTTCATGAAGCAAAATGAGAAGGTCCCCAGCTTTTCCGTAGAAGGAAAGGAGGTTGCAGTCCCCTACTCCAGATCCGGTGAGGCTGCTGCTAGTTTCCAGACGCAGTTTCCTAGGCGCAGGGCACGGAATCCTGGTCCAGGTCTTCCAAGGATCCGTGGGTGGAGCCTGGCTAATCTATGCGGGAAGACCCGCAGCCGAGTGGATTTTATAACAACATCCCCTCCTCCTATTACCCCTCCATACCGCGCCCCCCACCCCCCTGTGTTTTTTAAAAAGGAAAGTGAAAGGACATGCCTACTGGTCACCTTTAACAAGAATTTCCGCCTTTGCATTCTGGGCTAAGACGGTCAGACGCTCCTAACTCAACAGAATTATTTTTAAGCCACTGTGTTGGGCTGCCCATCTGTAAACGGGCAAGTTTCAGCTTCATATTGTGCACTACTACATTATTCAGCTAATTTAAATAAAAATAGTTCCCCAGAATATTCATGTTTGGGAACCTCAAGCATTCAGAAAATGATTTCAAACATCCATCTGCTTTTTGATAAGAAAGCCTGAGCTTTAGACTGGCTGGGGAACACAGCACCTTTCAAAAACAACGTTTAGCTTTAGCTGGTTTGGTTCAATGGTTAGAGCGTCCGACCGCGGACTGGAGGGTCCTGGGTTCGATTGTGGCCAAGGGCCCATACCTCGGTTGCAGGCTCGATCCCTGGCCTCAGTCCGGGCGTGTGCGGGAAACTTCGATGGGGCCTGAGATCTGTGGGCGGATGCTCTTACCACTGAGCCAAACTGGCCAGAGCTCAAATATGTGATTTGAAGATTTTTTTCCCCCTAGGCTATGGTTTGTCTTCTTATTCTCTTAGCAGTGTCACCCCTTTTGCGCCCCCCGCCCCCTCTGGTCACTAGCAATGTTTTCTGTATCTATGAGTTCCCTTTTTGTTCTTTAGATTCCACATATAAACGAGATCATACAGTATTTGTCTTTCTCTGACTTATTTTACTTAGAATAATGCTTTCAAGGTCCATCCATGTTGTCATAAAAATATTTCATTCTTTTTTTTTAAATCCTCACCAGAGGTTATTTTTTCCATTGCTTTTCAGAGAGGGGGGGGGAGGGAGAGGGAGAGGGAGAGGGAGAGGGAGAGGGAGAGAAACACATCAATTGGTTGCCTCCCACTTGCTCCCCAACCCAGCCCAAGCTTGCAACCGAGGTACAAGCCCTTGGCCGGAATTGAACCTCAGTCCTCTGGCTGAGGCTCTAACCACTGACCCAAACTGGCCAGGGCTGGAAGCTCTATTTTTAACTTTTTGAGGAATCTCCATACTATTTTCCATAGTGGCTGCACCAATTTACACTCCCACCAGCAGTACATGAGGGTTCCCATTTCTCCACATCTTGGACAACACTTGTTTGTAGATGATAGCCATTCTCACAGGTGTGAGGTGATAGCTCACTGTGGTTTTAAGTTGCATTTCCCTGATGATTTATCTGTTGGCCATCTGTATGTCCTCTTTGGAGCAATGTCTATTTAGGTCCTCTGCTCGTTTAAACAAATTAAATTTAGCCCTAGCCTGTTTGGCTCAGTGGTTAGAGCATCGGCGGGCAGACTGAAGGGTCCCAGGTTCGATTCCAAACTAAGCGCATATACCTTGGTTGCAAGCTTGATCCCCAGCCCCAGTTGGGCCACATGTGGGAGGCAACCAATCTATGTGTCTCTCTCACATTGATGTTTCTTCCCTTTTTTTTTTTTTTTAAAAAAAGAATATCTTTATTGATTTCAGAGAAAGGAAGGGAGAGGGAGAGAGAGAGATAGAAACATCAATGATGAGTCATTGATCGGCTGCCTCCTGCACGCCTCCGGTTGGGGATCGAGCCTGCAACCCGGGCATGTGCCCTGATCAGGAATCGAACGGTGATCTCTTGGATCCTAGGTTGATGCTCAACCTCTGAGCCATGCTGTCCGGGTACATTGATGTTTCTGTCTGTCTGTCTGTCTCTCTCTCCTTTCCACTCTCTCTGAAAAAGCAATGAAAAAAAATATCTTTGGGTGAGGATTTAAAAAAATAAATAAGTTTATTGGGATAACATTGGCAATATTATACAAATTATAAACTTTATGATCTGACATCTGTATGCTCTATCACCTGTCCCCCACCTGAGGTCTGGTCGTTTTCTGTTGCCATATATTTGACCCTCTTTGTCCTACACACGCTTTCTCCTCTGGTAACCACTCTTCTGTTTTCTGTATCTATGATTTTTTTTGTTTCTTTGCTTTGCTTATGAGTTTGTTGCTTTTTGTTTTATATATCCCTCTGCCCACTTTTTAAAAAATTGATTTTAGGGAGAGGAAGGATAGAGAGAAAGAGAAAGAAAACATGATGTGAGAGAGAAACATCAGTCAGTTGTCCCTGGGCTCGTGCCCCGACCAGCCACCCCTATTGTATGGGCCGATGCTCCAACCAGCCCAGCCACAGCAGCCAGGGCACCTGTCTGCTCGTTTTATTTTATTATTATTTTATTATATTATTTTTGCGTGTTTATTTTATTTCTCTTTTCTTTTTTTTCTTTTTATTGTTGAAAGTATTACAAGTGTCCCATTTCCCCCCCCTCCTCCTAGTTCTCACCCCCTCCCCAGGCCTTCCCCCCATTATTGTCTGGGTCCATGGGTTGTGCATGTGTGCATATAACTTCTTTGGTTAATCTCTTCCCACCCTCCAGCCCCCTTCCCTCTTCCTTCTGAGATACAACAGTCTGTTGCATGGTTCAGTGTCTCTGGGTCTTCTGTTCAGCTAGATTTCAGGGGGTTCTGAACGATGGTTGTTCTGTATTTTAGTTGTCATTTTGTTGTGGTTGTGGGAGGCGGGGGGGCCACCATCTTGCTGTCTCCTCTGTGAGCTCCTTTTAAAATTGGATTGTGTTTCAGGTGTTAAGTTGTATGAGTTGTAAGGGATACTAACCCATTACAGATGTAGCATTTGCAAATGTCTCCTCCCATTCAATAGGTTGTCTTTTCATTTTGTTGATGCCGTCCTTCACTGTGCAAAACCTTTTAGCTTGATGTAGTCCCATTTGTTTATTTTTTCTTATGTTGCCCTTACCCAAGGAGACATATCCAAAAAAACATTGCTAAGAGTGATGTCAAAGAGTTTATTGGCTGTGTTTTCTTCTAGGAGTTTTATGGTTCCAGGTTTTACATTTAAGTTTTTACCATTTTGAGTTTATTTTTGTATGTGGTGTAGGAAAGTGGTCCAATTTCATTGTTTGTATGTATCTGTCCAGTTTTCCCAACGCCATTTACTGAAGAGACTGTCTTTATCCCATTCTATATCCTTGCCTTCTTTGTTGTAGATTGATTATATAACAAAGGATTTATTTTTGGGTTCTCTATTCTATTCCATTGATCTATATATCTATATATTTATATCTATGTATATATATGTATGTCTATATCCATATCTATCTGTTTTTAGACAAGTACCATGCTGTTTTGATTATTGTAGCTTTGTAATATAGTTTGAAGCTGGAAAGCATGACACCTCCCACTTTGTTCTTTCTCAAGGTTTCTTTGGCTATTTAGAGTCCTTTGTAATTCCGTATAAATTTTAGGATTACTTCTAGTTCTGGGAAGAATGCCATTGAGGTTTTAACAAGGACTGCATTGGATTTGTATATTGCTTTAGGTAATGGCATTTTAACAATATTAATCCTTCAAATCCATGAGCATGGTTGTGGTTTTATTTTTGACATTTAAATCCTTGATCTCAGTATGGAATTAATCCCTGGGAAAAGTAGGAATTAGGGTTTCATCTTTTTCTCATTTGGCTACTCAAATGACTCAATATCATTTATTTTTTAATCTGTATTTTCTTCAGTGATTTGAGATTGTTGGTGGTTGTAAGAGGTAGGTCAGTGGGTTGGATTTACCACCTCTGGTCCCACAGCCTTTCCCATTCCCTGTGCATTCTGGCCCATAATGCCACAGTCCCAGACCTGGGAGAAGTTTAGCCATGCAGCTGATAAGCCTTACCTTGCCGAGTCTGAAAATGCATGTAGTTCTCAAAAGTAGGCATTCTTATAAGAGTCTGTATGTTAAAGTAACAGATTTAGTTTGTTTGGTGTATAGACCAACCAAGCTCAAGATGTAAAAAAGATTGAGAAATTTCAGTCAACTAATGCGACTATGGTAGCTAAGGAATATTGCCATGTTGATATACACAGGCTGAATGGTTTGAAATGAACTCTTGTTGACATGTCCTTAGGAAATAAATATCTTTTGAATTTGAGAAAGTGTTAGATAGAAAATACTTAATGTAACTCAGTGGACTGTTTAAAGTGGAGAGATCCTTTTTTCTTAAACTTTGTGTTTTTAATGTTTACTTAGCTTAGGAATGTAAATGCTCTCAGTTAGAAAGCCTTTATTTTTGGATATTGTACAAGGAATGCATTATCTTGGAAACTTTCTGCAGATTTTTTGATGTTTGACAAGGTATGTAATTATTTCTCTGGTAAAGTTGTATCAGTAATTTGAAAGTGAGATATCAAGAGAGGATAATTCTTCCTTCAGCTTATCTGTCTTTAAAGAATATTAAATGCAATCAGTTTGTTGGATTGATATTTCTTTAGGAGCTTAATGACCAATAAATATAAAATATTGGTAATGACCAGTAAATATAAATATGGTAACTGGAATTAATTATGCACAATAACATTCTTGATTATGTATAGTAGTATAGCCTCAATTATATCTAAAGGTAATTATGAAGAACAAATATACTTTGCCTTAAAATTTCCAGATTTAAACTGTATTTGTGAATGTAAAGGATTTGTAATATTAGCTTGTTAACTGTAACTTACTTAGAATGCAGTTTTCATGGATCAAAAACAACCACAGTTTGTTATCTGACAAAGGACTGATATGCAGACTATAAAAGGATACATAGAGTAGAAAGAACATATATATGTGTCAGCTATTTGCTCCCAGTCCATGACTAGCTTGCCTTTTCATTTTCTTAGATGTGTCTTTTTATTTTGACAAAGTTCAATTTATACATTTTTTTCTTATGGTCCATGATTTTTTTCTTTCTTTCTTTAATAATCCTTGCCTA